CCATTGTTCCCATATCAGGTGGGCCTAGTGACTCTTTGTTTCCTCAATGGCTGCTTTTTCATGTCACATCTGTGATGTCCAGATGTCAAGCTGTTTGTTTTTTTTTGTTTTTTTTTTTTTCTGGTGGGGCTTGAGTGGACAGAGCTTTGCAGCAATGCCATGACATGGAGCACTTGGGTTTGTGTGGTAGTTAAAACACCCTTAATCACAGACTGAATGGGAGCATTTATATTTCAGAAGTGATACACAGAAACAAGATTTTTATTTTATTTTCTGCCTGAGCACCTCATAACATCTTGCCCAGTGTTAATTGAAACCCAATCTCTCTGCTAATTAAGCTGTCACCCATATGAGTTAGTCAAGTCTTTCTAAACTTTTTGGGAAAGAAAGGACTGATATTTTATGTTGGGTATTTTTCAAACTGAGAACCAGGAGCAGACTGTGGAGCTTGGTGGAGGTTGTGAACTTTGAGAAGCTGGTGGTTCATTTTCTACTGTATGGATGAGGGATGTGTAGACTCTCAATTCCTAACCGAAAGGTCTGCACTTGGAAAACAGGGAGCTCCCAGCTGCCTTACGTTGCTGGGAGCAGCTCAGTTGCTTCAGAGTAAGAAAGCAAGTGGAACGCTTGCAACTGGTAGCTAGTAACAGGTTGTCCTGCGGTGGAGGAACTGAACCCTGTTAGCTGTCACAGAGAGAGAGGAGTGAAAGCAGGTCCTGCTTCGAAAGAGTTTGAGAAACAGTCTGACCTTGTGCGCAACACAGACTGTAATTTTATCCTTTTGCCTCTGTGCTAAGCCCAGGTAGGCACCTGAGGAAAGAGCAGAATATGTCTTACTCTAGTTTTTCTGGCGGTTTTGGGCTGGAGCTGATCTTCAAACTCCTGACAGGGTTTGTATTCTGATCCTGTTATTTTTCACAAAATGTAAGAATGCTAAAGCGGTGAATCCTAGCTACTTGTTTTGTTATCCAGGCTGTGTCAGAGCTTCTTACTTCACTAGGAAGCTGAATTGGTTTCACGTTTGCAAATAACTATTTTTCATCATTGGTGCCTTGAGGATTGCAGGAGCGAAGCAAATCATGACCATGGCTTCACTGCCTCCTTTCATACAAAAAGGTCCTTCAGAAACAGCATTTGCTCTCTTTAGCTTTTATGTAGTGGAGAAGTGATGATAAATGAAACAGGAACACATGTGCAATGATTTTAATATTAATAAGAAATAAGTTGCCGCTTGTGAGAGCTTCTTGTGAATGTTACTGAGTCCTGTTGAAGAGAAACAGAAATGTGGTGCAGTATTAAGAAGAGAAGAAACTTTACCCAGTGTACAAAGTCGTGAACTGTGCTTATAACATGAAGTCTTTTTATTTTTGTCTAGAAATTATACCCTTATAAGATAGCAGCTGTGTTTAGATTCTTGAATGTGTTGATTCTGTTTTTTGTTTAGGTTTCTGGAATATAAACTTCATGTACCTTAAAGCTGCACAGTCTCTATTCAGACCTCTGTGATTTTACAAGGGAACAGAATTGATTGATTGAAATGGAATAGCAGCTTTGCTCTTGTTTGGCACTACAAGACTCGAAGTGCTTAAATACTTCTTGGTATAGCACCCCTCTGTGGAAGCAGGTGGTAATTTCAGGAACGGAGAAGCTGCAGATCAGATTTTTATGGAGTTTTATATTAGAATTAGCTGCATCATGCTATCGATGTCTGTCTTTGAAAGATTGGACTTAGAGGTGCCAGTTACTTCAAGTTATTTTTGACTCTATCCTCAGTAAATATTACTGAGGTTTCGGTGGAACAGTTCTGCTGCTTCCCAGTTGGAGATCACAATGAATGGCTCCATTGGAAAACCTGTGCCCAAGCAATTTGTTTGGAGGCTGGATTTCAGATCTGTGACCAGCGCTAAGGTCACCTGAATTTCAGTGACCTGCTTTGACTAATCATATTGCTCTTTAATGTGTGTTGCAGTCCCACAGTTACTGCTAAGGTGAGTCTAGGCATGTGGAAAGAAAGAAACAGGTAGCACCTTTTCATTAACGTGTCGTCCTTTTTCCTTATAGGAGAACCACATCCATGAGAAGCTGGTATCTCTTAGTTTGCTTCAGAAAGACTTTGTGCCTTTTCTGCTGAATTTTTTAAGGGAGCAGACCAGCCAGATCCTCACTAATGGACCCTCTACTCCTGCTAAAACCCCTAATTCCAAGGCCCATGGAAACCAAAGGATAGGATCAGAAAGGAGGGCAGGTCATGCAACAGGATCAAACAGCAGCCGGGTGCAGCTCTTTTCCGAAAGGACTTCGGTGACCTCCTGCGCCTCAGATACCAGCTTTTCTCCTGCTGCTGCATCCAGTGGCTCCTCTTCCTTTTCTGGGTCAAACCTGTCTAGCCCTTGCAGTGACTTCCCTAGCATGGTCTCCACTAGCAGCCCAAGCTTTGGATACAGCCCTGCACTTAACCACAGTGAGAAGCGCTCATCGCAGAAGGCCAGTTTGGGGAGCTTCCTTACACCCATGCCTGAAGCCCCACCAATGAGGCGAGGCAGAAGGAAAGGCAACAGCTCAGTCAGTGCCTCTGGCCGGCAGGTAGTTCGGGACCTAGGGCGTTCCCTGGCTGAAGACGAAGATGGAAAAAGTGAGAGTACATCATGGAGCGCAGGGAGAAGGAAGCGGAGTGAAGCGCCTCTTGTTTCTGCCAGATCCCCACCCAGCCAGCTAAATCTCAACAATTTGGAGGAGTTTCCACCCATGGATGCTGCCTCTGGCTGGACAAAGTAAGAACAAGTCTGCCTCGCTCTTTCATTCTGATTGTGCTGCAGGTTACTGTTCCTTGACTAGCTCATCCTGCTGTGCGTGTCCAGATAAGAAGGTGTTGTAATAAACAATATCTGGGGGATGGTTTCTAATTCTCTTTGGCTAGAACTGTTTTGTAACAGGTTGCCACATAGGGGAATTTTGCTACAACAAGTGTATGTAGTTCCTGGACTATTCTGCTCCATGTACTCTTGCAGATTCCTCTTAAGCCTCTCACTTGTGATGCTCCCTGTAGCTCACCAGGGTACGGAGCAGCTGATGTGAAGCTGAGGACAACTTTGTCCTTGCATGTTCCAGCAAGCTAGCATTATCTTGACTCTTTATATTTGTCGTTCAATACAACAGGAATTGCTAATGAAAAGCAGTGCTGAAAGGCTCTTAAGCTTTACTGATGCTACAAAAAAAAGCTTTTGGATTGACATTCTATGACATCTGGTAATAGATGTTAGCGTACAGCTTTGTTTGTGTTACGTGATTATGGGCAAATTGCTAGCTAATGCCTGTGTTCTCTTTGGTTCTCAGCAAGTGCTGATTTCCTAGGTGACTTTGCCTTAGTTCTGGGCAGGTCTCTGATTTGTGATTGTGTCAGCCCTTTTCTTTTTTTCTTGGGATTTTACTCTCTAAAATCCTCATTACCAAATATAATGCTTTCGTGTTAGCTTATTTGCTCCAGGTGCCAGGTACTGACCTCTGAAAGTGATGCCTTCAAGTTGGGCATGAAAAATTCCAGCTGGAAATTGCTAGGTCTCTGGGTCTGTACAGGAGTTCTGTTTCTGAAGGGCTTCTTTAGGCTGGCTGCTGCTGTGGAGCTGCTTGTATGATGCTCTAAATGGTGCTTTGGCCAGGGAAGATATGATGCATTTCCAGCCTAGACAGTAAGTTCTCATCTATTGCAGTATGTCCAATTAGGAAAAAAGTGTGGTTTTGTGTCGAGGGGTGAGGGAGAGCCATGCAGTAGGTGGAAGCAATACTAACGTGATTTTGAGAACCCCATAGCAATTAATATGTCGTAACCAGCATTTCCTTGAGAAATGTAACGCTTTATGTTGCTGTGTGTCTTTTCCACAACGCCTCTTACTGCATTACAGAGCCTGTTCTTCAAGAACCAGTCTTGGTAGTTTATACAGCAAGGATCGGTTTCCCTAACTTAAGGGGCTGGTGGTAACTTAGGAGCCTGGAGTCCTCGTGATGGTCAATGGCATTTTGATTTCTTTCTTTCTTTTTTTTTTTTCTTTTCCTTCATGGTTGCATTAGAAACTGCTGCCCAATTTGTCCATTGCTAAAACGAGGCACATCTTGGCCTCCCAAACTAGAAATGTTTTTAAATAAGGCAGTTTAGAAGCGTTGAGTGGTACTGTCTGTTATCTGTTCTGTGCCTTAGTGACTGATGATTGTGCTCACAGCAAAGGGCAGTAGGCTGTTTTTTGCAGCCCACAGTTCTGTGGGTACTGGCTTTTTATTCAGTGACTAGGATAAAGTCAGCAACTATAGGTACAGCTTAGGGATTCACTGTTGTGACTCCTTCCTTATCCATTTTACTTTAGCATTAGGTTCCTCAGGAAGAGTTGCGTGCATATCTGTCCTGTGATCTATGCTTTTTGGTTTTTTGTTTTGTTTTTTTTTATTTCAATGGACTTCATTCTTTCTGTTCTAGCAAAAGCAAACCATCAAGGCGGATCAACCCAACTCCTGTAAGTGCTGAGCGCCCCCTCTCAAAACCAAAGATGTGCTTCACTTCTACACCTGTCAGCCAGTCTCCAGCTGCTCGATTTCCATCTGGGACAAGCCTTGAAGCCTTCACTGCTGTCCAGGAAGGAAATCTTACTTCTGTGGTAGGGAGCAGCCTTCAAGAGGAGAGGGAGATGCTGAAGAAAGAACGGTACAATCAGAGAGGGTGGTGACAGACTTGGTTCTGTTCGTCTTGTTTTAAGATGGTACTGGTATGAGAGTGGGAATGACCAGAAGATTATCCAAAATGGAAAATTGGTACCCTAAAAATATAATTGGCATAAAACCAAGTATGAATCTGGTATCAGACTAGGATACTAGTGCATTTAGCTTACTTTTTTCATTTTAAAGATCTGCTGACCCTGTAACAATGACTCTGACTTTTTCATGAAGAATTTAGTCAGTCCTTACTGCTTTTATAAGGTGACCTTTTCTTGGGCTAGGACATGTAGCTATTTCCTGTCCAGCTTTCCTTAGACTTGCACAGATGAAATGAGTGGTTTTGTGCTAGTGTAATTGGGCTGTTTTTGAAGATTTCACTTATGATGGAGGGCATAGTTTACTTTGAAGAAAATGAGTTAATGATGCAAATGTGGGGAAAGTGTTAATGGGTTTGCAAGGTAGGCAGACTAACAGAAGCTTTCACTCAGAAAAAATGGCACATGGGGAGAAGGAATTTCTGTTTTTAAAGTTGCTACTGCAGCTATCTATCTAAAATTTTGTGTGCTGGGAGATGAGATGTAGTCTAGCTTCTAATTTTGTCTTTGCCATTGAGCTACTATGTGACAACTGTCAGTGTTCTCTATAGCGTATGTGGCTTTTTTTTTTTTTTTCTTGGGGAAACTCCTCAGAACGTGTGAGAACTGAGCTAGTCAGGGAGAAATCCCTTGTTGCTGTAGTCGTCCTAAGGTTGCAGCTACCTACAGTGTATTTCTGTTAAGTCTCGTTTCACCAAGTTTGCCATTTTTGATCAATTCAATTGAAACAACGGTCATATGAGAGTCCTTAAAATAAGAGGCCTTTCTCAGGCATTTAAAATTTTTTTCATGTTACTGTGCGATCAGACTGTGTGAGTCAGTTCTAGGAAGAGTCAGGTATTTGCATATGGATGAAATTCTCTTCCTGTTTAGCCTTTCAGTTCACTTCAGTGGGACCAGAATTTGGTCCATAATCAATAAAAGACCTACTAGATTCTCCTGAGCTGTTCTTTTCACCTTCCTTAAATTCTGGACCTGTAGCAGAACTGCTCAGGATTTGAACCTGGCTCTGTGCACTTCAGTGAAGCACATATTTACAGTCTAAGTTATATCCGAAATGTTCCACTAATCCATATAAACTGAAGTAGGCCAAATGGCATTTTGTGGGCTTGATCTGGCCCATCGTGTGTGACTTGAAAGGGGTGGTGTTTGGAGCTGGGAGCTGCTGTTGTGTCCTCAGCAGTGGTGGGGATGGGTGGTACAAAACCAGCGCAGCCACCAGCCAGTCTGGGTGACTTTGAGCAATGACAAAGGGTGAAATTCATGCTGAGGTAAATGTTCCGCACTAAGGTAGAAGTGAAGCAGAGTCTAATTACTTTGTCGGAATATGACCTTAGTGGGTTTAGGAAGTGCCAAATAGCAAATAATTTGGTGGTTATGTCAGTCAGGTGCTTATGGTCAAGGCAAGGTAGATGAAAGATGTTAGTAAATAACCCTTCTACGCACATGTTGGGTATGTTTCTTTCTTTATCACAGCAGTTCCAAGTTAGGCCAACAGAAAAAGTTCTTTCCCTCAGTTTAAAAACAAGCAAACAAACAATCAAAACAAAAAAACACACACCTAAAAAGCCTTCTAGTCTTGCCCACAGCTGTTGAAGTGACTTCTAAAGATTTTGCTTTTGAGACATTATGGCAAGAGGTGGGTGCAATGCTTGAAGCGTGGCTGTTCTGTTGGGATCTTTAATGATTGTTGAATATTGCTGTTTTTGGCTTCTATCCTGCCTCTCACTTGTCTTCCGTATGCTACTTTGCTGCTGCATTTTGGATGGCCTCTGTAGGTATATTTTCAACAATACCTGTGTCTTTAACTGAGTGACTGCTGTTGATTTAGAATCTAGGAATTAAATCGAAGTAGCTTTTCCTTTTGTTGTTCAGTCTGGTTTCATCAGTTGTTGCTCTGCCTTTCCACTTAGTGGTATTAGATCTTCTGCAGGCATCATTAATGTAAATATATCTTGAGGTCTTTCCATAAACTTTATTTTCATAGATTTTGCAAAGTGTTTAGCTATCAAAGTTGCATAGAAATTGTACATGCAAAAAAAGTCTTGGGACCTGCTCTCTAATGGGTTCAGTGTCCTTAACAAATCTCGATTTAGATGAGAAAAAGTAATTACATAGGTTAGTTAGATAACTTGGCTGAAGTGCCACATTGTGTCAGCAGAGTTGGAATCTGAACCTAGGTTTTTTTTGTTTTGTTTTGTTTTGTTTTTTTTTGACTCTTTTGACCACTAGACCCAAGACCCTTTCAGATTAAGGAAAAGATGGGTTAAATTAGTATCATACCCAGTGAAAGCAGTCTTAGACAGTATGCATGACATGGTTAATTACTGCAGGAATTCCTCACACTGTGCTGTACTAGCAAGACCTCTGTTTGCCTTGGGACTGCTGTATGTCATCTTCAGTCACATGGTATATCGCTGATCTTGAATTTCAGATGCAAGCTGCTGCACCAGGCGTCTTCTCCTGCTGGGCTCTCTCTTGATCCTGGTACTCCTACTAAACCTAGCTACGCTCGCAGTGCTAGCCTCTCTGCTGAAAGTCACCTGGTGACCTGTGCAAATCCTGCCAAGGTTTCCTGCAAGAAACAGTTGGAGTGTCTGGCGCAGCTCTATTCATCTTGTATAGCAGGTGAAGACTCGGAAGATGGGAGACTGGCCTTTTTGTGAGCTTTGAACTTGCATGCCCATTGGGAGCGGGGGAGGTAGTGGAAGTTTGGGTTAGTTTTGGCATACAAACAAGTAACATCTAGGCAAATAAACCACATCAACAGTAACTGAAACGATTGGATCCTAGGCAAAAGTTTAGGGAAGCAGATGAACCTGACATAGTACTCAGAGTTGCAGGAGGCTGAAGTTGTACAATCCTATTCAGAGAAGTAAATTTGAGCAAACAAACCATTCTCTAACATGTCTGTCCTGTAGTTTCCCTATTGACTTACACTTCAGCTGTATGTGGGAGGGAGTTCTCTGCTCAGTCTGGCATAGAGCAATTATCTGTCTTTTTACCTTCATTTATTAAAGCAAGTCAATGCTGAATATCTGCCTTTAGTATCTCATTTTCTCTCTTCCAGAAAACTTGGTACCAAATATTTTTCTGGAGCTCTTTTTTGTTCTGCAATTGTTAACGTCTAAAGGCACTTCTGCAGAAGATGGGGAGAGCGACCTTGAAGTCAATGAAAGAAGTGAAGGTCAGCAATAGTATTCAGTGGAAAGAATGTAACTTCCAAGGAATGGTAATGTGATATAAAGTAGTAGCCTTTAGCTTGGACAGTTGATCTTAAATTCCATAAAGGTTCCTCATTACCTCTGTGGACCTGGTCTGAGATGTTAACCAAAATCATGCATGTACGGGAATTGCTTCTGCAACATGCATTTAGAACAGAGTTGCTAGATACTATATGAATCTAGCTTTCTGCTATTGTGCAGAATTTGCTGTGGTGCTTTGCTAAATCAAGCTTTCAAAGAGGAGGGGGGATATGTTGGATCCTTTGGTCCTTGCAAATCCAAAGTGCTGTTGGCATACTGTGTTTTTAATTTAAGGTTGGGCCACCGATTTGGGCATGCAGGACCCATTCATATAGATGTACTGTCGTTGCATTTGTTTTCTGGCCAAACAACTTGATGCCGCTCTTGGCCAAAAGGTTGAGAAGCAATGCCTTCCTTCCCATGCAGCATTAAACAATATAGTTGCCTTTACAGTAGGGAAGAGGAGGATGAGAGGATTTTTCTATTCGGGGGTGCCAGGGAATCAGAACAGCTAGAAATGGAATGCTGGTCTGGAAGACCATTTAACTCTTTGGATATGACAGTTCCTACTTTTCTTGAGAGCTAACTGTTGGTTATTTAGTTTATAAATGGTGATAGATGCTGTTGTCTCATGTTTCATTTTTTCCCCTTAGATGCCTCAAGGAAACAGCATTTCCGAAATGTGCACAACTGTGTTTATTTTGCTGTTCAAGTGTTGGATTACCAGTATGAGTGAGTAGATTTTTTTTTTTTTCCTCCTTCTGTCTGCATCTGCAGGAGCGTGTGAGATGAAACAAGTGTGCTTGGATTTTGGAGCTTTACCACTTACAGGCCTGGAGTGTTTAATTTTCCTGTAAAGCACGCAACTTGGCCCGAATTTGCACATGTAGGAGTTTTGCTTGCGCTGATCTGTCTCCTAAGCTTCAGTGTGACTGGGCAAAAATGAAAAAATTGAGATTAGAACAATACAAAAAATGGTTGTAATTTAGTGAAATAGATAGGCAATAGACTTGTTCCTTTGTATGGCTTGAGTGCAGGTGATGTTTACAGTGGGCCCTCCAGATGCCAGTAGGATTTGATCTGGGTGCCTGGGGCTTAGAATTCTTCACTTGATACCTTCATAAAAATGAGCGTGAGAGTAAGCATCTCTTCAGGTCTGATCATAGTGTTGCTTTGTGTCTGTCTGTGGGTTTTATGGATGTTGTCTTGGCAGAATTATTTCCCATTTAGAAAAGGGGACGCTGAAGCTCTTGGCAGAAAATGAACGGATTGCATCTTTTTCTCCCACCTTGCACGAGAGGCTCAGGCAGGCTTATGAAAGCAGCACAGCCAAGGTAAAAATTGGCAGACCTCAGTTAATGTTGTCTCATACCTTTGCGTTGTTGCTTTTTTATTTATGATGGCTTTAGTGTTAAATCTCACTTCTTCTGTTGTGGGTATCTTGTCCTGTTTTCTTTGGGAAGGGTCTAAAAGCTACTTTTTTCTTGTCGGTGGGCCAGTGAATTGCTTGGGGCAATGACTCTAGCCATAAATCACTGCTGACTAGCCTTAGATTGCGCTCCAGGCCCTGATTTCAACCAGGGCTTCATGACAGAACTCCCAGTGACTTTGACAGGACTCAAGTTTTGCTTATGAAACGCTCCTGTAATAAACATGGATTGCAAAATGGTGGGTTGGATGCAATATCAGAATTCAGTTTGGAAGAGGTAGTTTTGTTTCATATCTACAAACTCCTTTTAGGCAAATTAAACTACAGAGGAGACAACGCATCCTGTGAAAATTGGTTTCCTGATCTAATCATCTGAGCTAGGGAACCTGAGGCTGGATGGCAGGAACACCCACTTTATTCTGTATTTCATTACCTCAGTCTTTTAAAGATGGGGATTGCTATTGGCATAGAATTGTGCTATTCTGAGGCTAAGGTATGTGAATAGCTGAGCTATGGTAAAGGTTTTTTGTCAACTGCGGCCATATGCTTTTTAAGTAGGAGTAATGAGAATAATACAGGAACTGCCAGCTGCTATCCTGTGTTCTCAGAAGCCCCACATTCAAGATTGCTTTGGTTGATGGCAGATGGTTCTTTCTCTTTTTCTGTATCAATGCTAGTTGCAATCTGGTCTGGAGAGATTTCTTAGAGAGACAAGGTTCTCTCCATCAGATTGAGTGATTTCTGCTTCCGTAGTGTAATCTACATTATGCAACCGTTGTTTTCCATTTCCCAGTTACTAACTGCTGGTTACTGTCTGAGCAACTCAGCTGGTGATACCTGACTTCCTGATCACTTCTTTTCATTATTTTTTCTAGGTCTCTGATTGATGTATAAATCAAAGACTTACATTAGTCTAATGGCTGCTTTTATATTTTCAATAGGTGTCTCTCCTGCTGCCAGGCTCTGTACAATCTGTTTCTTTCCAGCCAGAAACTGACAATCGCTCTAACTTTCCCAGTGACAGAGCATTTCATATATTTAAGAAACAAAGGTAAGTTACCCACCCCATGGCTCACAGGGTATAGTCTTTCTGTAGTTGTGAACAAAGGACATTAAGAATGTCTGTATGCTGCATGCTGTAGAAAAATATGGACATTTTCAGTCTTAAAAACCTTGATCTTTGAGCTCCTGAAGTCAATGTGAACAATGTGTAATGTCTTCAGAGAACAGTAGCCTAAATTCTTCAGTTGTTGAGGCTGCTGATAAATACTAGAACAGTGTGTGACCCTAGTGGGTTGCCTCTGCAAATAGAGCTGATGCTCTTGGTATTCTTCCATGCTACCCCCCGCAACACTTACAGCAGCAGGGTGAGGGGAGCATGGGAAGTTGTCTTGGTCCTTTTTTCTCTCCTCTCAGAATAAATGTGGCTTATTCTTTCCTGCTTCTCAGTCTTCAGTGTTTATGGTAATGGGTGTTGTGGTCATCCTGCCTGAGCTTGGGCAGAAAAAGCTTAAGCACTTGCTTTCAAAGACATGGAAAATGGAAACACTCTGAAATGCTACTAATATTAATAAGTTTTGCAAGGGTATCTGAATGCTTAGAGGCTTGAGTTATTTATTCTGGAGTAGCTTCTTACTGGGGAACTTAAAAGTGATTGAGTATTCTGTTGCTGTCCAAATTTTGAAGACCAGGAATTCATACCCTTGAATATCTTGATTCACAGGGATATCTTTTATGAACTGCTGCGTGAATGGGAGGATAACCATGAAAAAACTGGCTGGGACTTTGAAAGAGTTCTGGGCAATAAGATCAGGTAAGAGTCTAGTGCAGGTTCAGCTAGAGCTGAACTATAGTTTTTGCAGTGTTCTTTAATGTAGCTGAACTGCTTGGTGCAGCATAGTAGACAGAGCATCCAAATTCCTGTGTTCTTCCTAATGGTCTTCTGCGAAGATCTGTAGAGGAACTGTGTTTTTTGGGGGGGGAAATGTTATCCCTGTAGACTTGCTACTATATTTACAGGTATCAACTGTTATGTTAAACAAGACGTAGGTGGCAAGGGTCTAATTTTATCAGTTTTAGTGTAATTCTGTCCCTGGTCATACCCACAGAAAGCCACTCACAACTGGTAAGTTGTGATCTGAGCATTGTTAATGTATGCATGCCTTTCCTATTTCGAACGCCCCCTTGCTTTTATGTGTAGAGAAGTATATTATACGTTTACAATCTCTGAACTGTTCTAACTAGTTCAGGGAGTTCTGTTTTTTTAGCTTTGAAAACAAGCCAAGTGTGACTGTTTCTATGCAATGCAAATTGTGTTTAGTGGTACTATCAAAATAGAGTATTTATAAACAAACTGTTGAGCACTGAAAATGCTTGCCTTGTAGGCTTCTGTGTAAGTCTTATCCTCCAGCCTAGTCATGTTACGTGTGTGAAGGTGATTTTTCGCTAGAGGAACAAAACAAGCCTGAGATTTAAACTGAGGAATTTTCTTTCTCTTTGAGCACCACAAGTACTGCTACTGCTGTTTTCTTGCTTGCATCTATGTGAACTCTCAGCTCACTGATCTGTGCAGGTGAGAGTGGGAGCAGAAATAATTTATTTTCTTCCTAAATAACTGTGGTTGCAGTAGAAGAACAGTGTCTGTTCGTCTCTTCTAGAGCTATGTGTGGTCTGCAGGTGTTCAGGGAGAATCCAGGGAGAGTTTTTGTTTCCATGGTCAGCAGATGGGGTTCAGTGCTTGTGATACCTGGTTATAAAGAAGACGTTGCCTTTTGCAGCGTCCTACTTTGAAAGAGTTCTGGAGAACACTTTCTTAAAAGTAATCATTTTGTGCCTCTAGTATAATTGAGGATAAAATGTTTTTTCATACCACAGAGATCCAGTCAGCATTTTGTGATGTTTTCTTCGTAGGGCCATGATGGCTCACTTATCTGCAACCTGCAACCACAGCCACTTTGCCAGGCTCTTTCAGAAACAGCTCATCCAGGTAAATGACTTGTTTTTACATGAAGAAATGCATCAATATTGGTTTATCCTTCCTCAGCCCAGGAACAAAAGTATGTCTTGCAGGTTTATTTGAGGATTTCTTATGGAAGCTTATTTGGGAGAGCCATGTTTTCAGGATGGGAATTTGCTTCCTTTTCCTGAAATATAAATCACTGGTAAGTCCTGCGTAAATCAGAGTTAAGGCACAGTGAGCACATAATGAGTTGTAAGGCTTCATTCTCCATGGTTCTTTACTTTCATCTTCTAATATCAGAACAGTTATTATTTTTAGAAATGTGAAGTATGTATTTCCGTATGTATCAAATGAAGAGGTGCCCAGTTATGTTCCCCAGCAACATTAATGGTTGTTTCTTGATTCCAGCATGAAGACAGTAGCTGCAAAATATCTGTGGTTCTTCTGTGTAACAGTGCACCAAGCTCTTTTTTAAACAATTTTTTTGGCCAGTTTCAAGCACTGTCTGACTTCACTGTAGCTGAAGGAGTGAATAAAGAGAAAATGCTTCTGGTTGAAGTATAAATTTTCAGTGTGTTCTGTCTATAAGTGGCTGGTTTATCTGTGGGATTTCCTTTTGGACAGCAAGATAGACCAAAAAAAAAAAACCAAACAGTTAAGGGTGTTAGTTCACGCACAGTGATCTAAATTCAGACTGGACATTAAAAAAATTTTCAATATTCCAGCAGTCCAAGTCGTCTTGGAAATGTCCTGTCTGAGGTGGGTGGGGAAAAAGGTGAAAAGGACTCTACATCAACAGAATCAGTCATAGGTGCTGAACTTCTCCTTTTTTTCATCTGTGTCTTCTTAATGAAGACTTTTGGATTTCACAAGGGTAACTGGAAATTTAAACTGATAAATATGAGCCTTTAATGAATCTGATGTGTCTGGCCAGAAAGTGACTTGCAGAATTATGTGTATTCTGTGATACTCATGCAGAAAACCTAGAGTGATGCATTGTCTTGAGGCTTGATGATTTCAAGGCTGGGAGTTGTAACAAGATTACCTTTTAGGAGTGGAGGATGATCAGTTTGGAGTAGATGAGACCTAATGAGACTGGAGTAAAGATCCAGCTGAATAGCTCATGAAGGCCATACCAGTGATAAGTGTTCTCTTCACATGTACAGACCTAGGCTGCTAGGGGTGCCTGAGTTAGATGCGTAGAATCTGAATTCCATCTCAAGATTCCTAGGTTGTTGAGGGCAAAATTGGGTAGTGTGATTTGTCATGGGGAGGAGTGATCTTCTGTATGTGGGCTGGCTTGAAAAAGGCAGCGCTTGTAGGCTCTCGGCAGCGCTTGTAGGCTCTCGGCGAGGAATGTGTGGGATGAGAGGTGAAGTGAATCAGTACTGTCTTACAAATTTTCTTTCTCCCTGCTCTTCCTGTTTCTTAAAGATGTGTAAAGGTCCTATTGGCGGTGGCACGAGCTGGGGAGACACCCCAGACCAGGATGTTCTTAACATGCTGGGTTCTGATAACCTGAGCCGGCTGAAGAGACTGCAGGAAAGATTTGTCGTTCCTCAGAGCATCAGAGGACCTTGCCCACCTCCTTCGTTCACAGGATGTCAGCAATTCTTCAGGGACTTCATCCTCAGCGCAGGCAGGTTAGCCACCTGTGATCACTCCTTCCTTGGCAAAGGGCGGAGGAGTGTGGGGAACCACCAGTGTGCCGCTTTCACAGTGGGGAGTTGTCTGGAGAGCTTGAGGCATAGTGGAATCTAAGCAGAGTATGACAGGAATGCTTTCAAGCTGCAACATACCACAGTGTCCTTGGCTGCCACACGCAGTGAACATGCTAATAGATATGTTCAGGCCCGGGGGAAGAATTGACAAGGGAGGGATGTTATATTAGGCTAGACTGTAGTAATTTTCCTTCTATAAAAGCATAGTATCTTGTCACAGGCCATCAGCATTTCCCAGTGCCAAGGAGTGCAGTGTTGTATAGCAAAGGCACTGGACCATACAAATGTTTCTTGTGGGGTAGTGCATGAAGCCAAGGAGCGAGAGTGTGAAGCCATGTTCATGGTTTTATTTAATCAGTTTTTTACAATCCACAGAATAGATTCAAGCCTCTAACAGATCACAACTCATCCAAGTGCAGTTACTTTACAGCTTCTGCTTGGACAGATCCACCTTCTTATCGTTATGCTGGGACATGCTGAGTAGCATCTGTTCCAGGGAGCAAAAGAGAAGAATGGAGAAAGGGGTCAGCCAGCATTAGAATCGCAGAAGTCTTGTCTCTTGCTTTTTTGACTGTCAGTGTGGTGCTTTGGAGGTTCTTGGCTAGATAAAATCTCTGATGCTTGGTATGACTTAGTGACAAAGGCTTGAAATATTGCAGAGTGTTAGTTGAGGTTTTACTGCTGTTTTCAGCCCAGTCTGACTCATCATCATCTTTTACTGAAGTTACCAGTTCAATCAGCACCTGGTGGATAGCCTGTGCCTGAAGATACTTGAACTAGATGGCCTTACTCTGATAGAGCATGAGCACAGTGATGGGGAAGCAGATATGGATGAACAGGTAAGCTTGTTTGCAAAGACATCTGGCAGGAATTTCCCTGAGTTGTTCCTGTAACTGAAGAACTGTTAATTTGGTTATAAATGGGATTTTCTTCCTTAAAGAGTACTTTATAAGGTGTTTGGAGTGTCTACCATTGTATTTGCAGGACAGGAGCTTCTTCATCTGATTTTTGTCATAACTTGGCAATTTATACATGTGTGAGCCTCTTCCCAGTTACTTGCGTGCTTTGGGGTGCCTCTTAGAGCAGTGTCTTAAAAGATGATGCACAACAGTCTGAAGAGTGATCTGTTGTGAGGGAGCCTCTATTTAGCTTCCTAGTACGCTGTGTCAATCTGCTTCCTCAGTGAAATAACTGAGTTTAGTTGTGGCACTTGGTTGCAATAACACCTTGCTACTCTTCCAGATAGAAAGACTTCAGTAAGAATGAACTTGCAGTGGTGCCTATTCAGATGCTCCTTCACGCATCTATACCTAGCTGAGGTCTTAAAGCTTTATCTTCTTTATTAGGAAAGTAGCAGCCGAAGGTTTGTGGAAATTGCAGAGCAGTAGCTATATGGAGGAGGCATCAGGAGATGAGCTCTCTACCATTTCACTGATTCCAAAGTTAGTAATACAAAGGTGTGATTGAGGAGCTGCTTGTTTTAGAAAGCCCTCAAATTAATTTCTTCTTTCTACAAGTGGAATAGTGGATGCAGAAGCAATTTTTAGCATATATATGTGTGTTTTGGAAATTTACTGTTACTAAAAGCAATGGCAAAGTTTTATGGCACTTCCGCATGAAAGGTGTGGAAGTTTAGTGTAGGTATTTGCTTTGCCAGTTTAGGGTAGCATTGCCCCAGCTTGTTTTCCTTTTTTCATTTCAGGATGAAAAGAAGCGTTTCAGTATGGTGCTATTAAGCCTTCGACTCCTTGCCAAATTCCTGGGGTTTCTTGTTTTCTTGCCATATCGCACCATGGAACAGCCAACTAGAGACCTGCTAGAGTCTGCAGTAGCTTTAAGAAACAGAGTAAGAAACCAAACACTTCCAAGAAATCTAGCATGGACCTTTGCTTGGCAGGCAGGTTTCTTAATTCAGGGAGGGGGATTAGGATTAGTGATGTCAGTTCATAGCGAGCTAGTGGTTCCTGGGATGATGTTACACTGGTCTGTGCCCCTATTACATGTCCTAGGCGTAGGGACAAAGGAAAGAAAAGAGAGTTTAGATAAGACAGAAAAGGAGGAGCAATGCAGTGATGGGGAGGTACTGAGTCTTCTGTTGTCTCATCCAAGCTGGGGCTGTCATATCGGAATTCAAGACTTAGCTAAGACGACTTGTATTTATAGTGTACAATTCAGCCACCAGAAATATTTGTTAGTTTTGCACCCAGCTCCTAGTAACGTGTCACACTGAATGCCTGGAGGCAGGGGCTAAACCTGATTATGCTTGTACACAGGTTTCTAGCCTTACAGCTTTTCTTTTGAAAGTCCCAGTGGGACCTGTGGTTGCTGTTGTAGTATGGTTTCTATCTCTGGGGCGTGGAGAAAAATTTTCATTAACCAAAATGGCAACCTGTATTTGCACAGAAGATGAAATAGCAGCAAGAAAAGTCATGATATAGATAAGATTTTTCTTTAAGAATCAAAAGGTAACTTCAGGCTGCTGCTTTAAATTCTGTTGTCCATCAAGACCCGGCCAGTACTGGATGTATTGAAGCTTCTGAGACAATCTATTCGGGACCGACGTGCTATCCTCACCATTCCTTGGATTGTGGAGTTCCTTTCCCTTGTGGATCACATAGCTCCTTTTCTTGATTACTACAGGAAGGTATTTTGTCTCTTGCTGCAGGTATACAGGTAAGAGCCTGGGAAAGGGCATCTGTTCAAGAACTCTTCTGTGAAGGCGTGTTCATGTAGTTGAGGTAGCTGACATTTGAGAATGCATGCTGGCCCTAGCTTGAGATTCTTATAAAAGGTACATCTCTTTTGCCCAAGAGTAAATCATGAGCGTTTCTTATCTTGCATAAAATTCCATGGGGAGCCCATCTTAAACTCAGAAATTAATGTTTTGATTTTAAATATATGCTTTTTGATTAAATAAACCAAATTATTTAAGTCCCCACTCACCCATTCTACATCTGCAGCTGTGAATTTTAAACCTTGTAACGGCCTACAAAGTTTTCCACGCCTAAATAACGCTCTAGTTTTCTTTTCTATGTACAAGACGAAAATCTGAAGCATATTTTAGAGAGTTACTTAAGCTTACACTGGAACAGTCAGTGTTATAACAGCAGGTTATTCGGATGCGTACGCACGAAGCAAATAGAATATGCTTTCAGCTCTGTTGGCAGACAAACAGGGAATGTGTACGTGGTGACAAACAGTATAATTGGAAGTGAGGGGTTTCGGCTGTTTTCCTTAAAACTGAGCTCTTCAAATCTAACTCTCTCTCCTGCTGCTCTTGCTGCACGACAGGTTAATGGTCCTTTCTGAAGATAAGGAGATGAGTTTCCTGAACAAGCTGCTGATTCTTGCAGTTTTGGGTTGGCTTTTTCAGGTAAGTCTCTCCTCTGTGCCTATGGCTCTGCCCTGGAGAAAAGCAGGGCACAAAACTCAGTGGAAGGTAATATAAAAATGAGTTAAAATACTGCAAAATACTAATCTTTTCCACTAGTGTGGGGTTTAACAATCCTCTGTATTCTAATGGAGAATTATTTTCCTTTAGTGGAGTTTTGTGTGAAATAACATTTTTTTTTCCAACATGAATTCTGATTGTTGCTGAATCTTTTTTGTTTTGTTTTGTTTGTTTGTTTTTGGTGAGTGGGGAGGTTGCTAAAATTTTACAACCCTCTTTATCAGAAATGCTATAAGTTATTGACTACTATTTGGGCTGTAACTGTTGGGGTTTCTGTTTCAGGTGCCATCAGTCCCTGAAGAGTTATTCTTTACCACTGATGTCAGGCAGGAGGGATTGATGATGGATACTGTAACATCCACTCGGGCTTTGGTGAGTTAATGCAATAGCAGCTCCTCTTGGCTAAGGGTGGAAATGCTATAGTCACAGGAGTTTAATGTCAGTGCAGCTACGCTGAGCAGAGGAGATGCAGGCAAATGGATGGAATGCTCCAGTTTGTCCTGGGTTGTAAACTGTATGCGTTAGAGCTCTGGGGCTTTTGGCAGGCAAAAGTCAGCTCAAATGCTGCAGTGGCTTACAGAATAGGTGCAAAATTATGCTGGAGGATCAAGTGTTTTTTTTATATACAGAAGCTGTTTTCCTGTTCGTAGATTTCTTAGCCCTGCTTGCACGGAGATAAATTGCAGCTCTTCCCAAAAATAAATGTTAGTAATGGTGAACTCAACAGAAATAGCAAAACAGGACTGTAAAAGCAAGGTTGCTGTCAAGTGGAGTCAACTTCTATCCAGTTGTATGGCAAAGGGTAACTGATTTGGAAGTAATTTGAGCAAGCAGAGAAGTAGGTGAGTGTTTGGGAGTTAGTTGAAACGTTGTATGTTCTAACCATGGCAATAACTAGGTGGTATACCTGGAAAAATCAGCAGTATGTTAGTTAAGATATGTATGTATCTTGTTCCAATTAGAAAGTTCTTTTTTGCACCATTTCTAAGTGGCAGAGGGATGGTGCAGAGATCAACTGAATCTCCACACCTGTGGAAGTATAATGCAAAGCAGATGTGCCTTATTTATTCTCTTCTATGAGCAGGTTTCTCTCTCACAAGTAGCAGCTGTGGCAACAGCCCTGGTTTTCTTCTGTAACTGTCAGCTTTCAGTTGGGCTTTGGTGATCAGAAGCCGAGGTTGAGCTGGATGTAGAGTAGATTATCATGCATTACAGGGCCACACTGAACCTGTGGTTGCAAAATTCATAATTTTACTGTGAAGGCATTTGATGTGGAATCCAGTTAGCATCATTGTTTTTGTGGAAAGGCTGCTTTGAAATGTGCCTGTGACCGTACGTATGCAATTTCTGACTTTCTAAAGAATGTTTCTGTCTGTCTTTCTTTGTCCTTCAACTTTTCCTTCCTTCTCTCACCAGGACTCTGTACCCTTGGTGGATCAGCAGTTACTTTATACCTGCTGTCCCTATCTTGGTGAGTATTTTATTGATGTTTATCCTAGCATTCTTTGGTACTGTGAGTCCTCAGGTCATCTTTCTTCCCCTTCCTCACAACCTTAGGTCTCAGCTGTGTACAACTAAACCTTGATGAAAAGCTGTATCATGGATCCTGCAGTTGTGAATAATAGCTGGTAAAGTTGAGGAAGGGAGGCTGCACAGTCAGGATAGCTGATTTACAGAGCTAGAATATGGAAGAAGGGGGAGCTTGTTTTCCACGCACTGGAAGAAGCGTAACAAGGAGTTAAGTGTACTACTTTTCCTGTCTAGATAAAGGGAGAGGCTATTGTACTGTGAGGAATGCTTTAATTCTAGAGCATTTTTCTGCTGTCAGGCAGAAGGGAAGAATCCTTTTGTGCGCTGGTACTTTATCAGGTTGTTGTCTGAGGCAATATAACTACATCTTTCCGTATTTTTGGAGGGATCTGACTGTTAAGGGTGAAGCCCCTCTTTGTAGAAAACAGAATGCCGCTTCTTGGGTGCACTGCTTCTTGGGTGTTTGTTGCTAGGAAGGCTGTATGTTCACATGGGTTCCTGTATCACGAAAGCTTCTGGAGGTGGAACAAGTTCTCAAGCTTTTCTCTCAGTGTTTTCTCCTGATCCTGCTGTAATTTTGAGAGTTGCTGCTCATGCTGTTGTCCCTGTAGACTTTGTACAATTCCTGCTTGCCATGATAGAAAAGGAGTCATAGAAACAGCTGCTCCCTGATCCTTCTGAACAAGTCCCTAAGTACCAGGGAACTTCTTGGAGGTTCTGCCCTGCCACTTAGGTGGGTGGGATGCCTCTCTGCTCTTCGGAAACTTGAGCTTTCACAGAAGCTGAAAGAATCTGCTCTGGAGACAGGACTTGGCTATATGGAATTCTCTGTGAGTTTGGATTGTTCTCCTGCACATGGGATTGATGACTGCTTTTCCATGTTTCTCTTTACAGGTGAGCTGCGGAAATTACTTGCTTCTTTTGTGGCTGGCAGTGGAGCAAAGAATGGTGGCTTTATAAGGAAAATCACTCCGACAGCTGCAGAGTCCTTGGCACCCAAACCTTCTGTCACACGAAGAAAATTGCAGGTAATGAAATTTGGGAAGGGCTATTTGCTGACTCCTGATGTGAGCAAAGGCCAGTGTGCTTGCAATGTTGTGGAATAACTTTGACCTTGTGTATGTGGCTTCTCAAGTGGAAGCAGGACAGGAGAAATTGCTTGTATGATGGTAGGACACAGTGGCATCTTAATATTTAGGAAAGAAAGGTGTGGACCTAGGCAGCAGGGAATATTCTGACAGGGAATATTCTCCTTTGTATTCTGCTGGTTAAAGCATGCAGCTGGAATTATCATGTGGGTGCTGAGTTCCAAAGAAATTCAGTAAGCATTCTTGTAGGTCAGAATTCGCCTTTCTCTGTGTCTGTCTCTTCTTTAGCATCTACTGTTGGTATGTTTTCTATACTCTGCTTTGGTTAGGCTGTAACTGTACTTTCCACAGAAGGTGAAAACTGTGTGGGAGCCCACAGGATTGGCAGCCTATAATTAAGATGATGCTTTCTTTCCAAGGCAATCCCCGTGTGGTAGCTCACTGTGAACAGATGCTGTCAGAACTCTCCTATTCTTGTCTTTACTGATCATTGTCTGTCTTAGTTTCATAAAAGTTGATAATAAGCTCTGGATTAAATGGTTAGAAGGAAATAGGAAGCAGACACTTTACAGGGGTGCCAGATGTTACACAAGTAGAATGTTCTGGTATAGACAAATCATGATCTTCAGCACAATTCATATCCTAGTTTTGTCTGTTCCTGTGACGAGGAGAGGAGAATCTGGGGGCAGTGCTCTAATCAAATGGTAGCACTTCATTTCTCTTGAACAGGCAGAGTTGGAACAGGCCTTCTTCCACAACCAGCCCCCCTCCTTGCGGAGAACAGTTGAATTTGTGGCGGAGAGGGTGGGATCCAACTGCGTTAAGCACATCAAGTAAGTGCTGGTGATCTGTTC